TTGTTGAAAATAATTAAGGAAATTATTTGTCCAGCCACTTCAATCGGCATCTCCAATATGCATATCGCTAGCCAAGTAACGTTCTCCAATTTTTAGCGATTTAATTACATTTTACGCTTTGTGTTTCCTTCTTTCTCGCTCGCACTCGCAGCGCGTATAGACGCGTCGTTTCAGATTGTTGTTATTTTTGAAAAGATGAGTTAATTGCCATTTAGCAGTAATAGCGCGTCTCACATCAGTTGCTTCCCCGCACATCTGCCCCCCTCTGGCAGCTGAGATTTTATGCAAATATTTGCGAACTACCTAGAGGAATTATCAAGTAGGCGTTTAGCTTTTTACACTCTCAGCGTGTTTACTCTTCAGATTTGTATACATTTTGGACTTTGTGTCTTTGTGATGCATTTTCATTGTTCGCATGAATTTGAATTTCGAATGCAAACTTTGCAGTTGCGCGTGCCAATTGCATTTGTTTTTGTAGACATAGACACTCTGTGTTCCGGGCCAATGCTTGTGCACTTCAGAAGACACGCCACCTGCTTAAATAGGCATTAAATGTTCGGCATAAATACATATTTACAAATCTCAATTTAAATGTTTTCCCACCTATGCCAATGACCATGACAGTGAATGCGGGGAAAGGAAAGAGTAATGGGCGTGTTATTATGGGAACAATACGTTTATGGTGTCTTGCATATATTGAATGCTCAAGGCTTATATTGGAAAATAGGGGCAATGGCGTTTTTATTCAATAAAAAACTTTCAGATAAGATAGCTTGAAAATTCTTTTTTTTTGTGCGCAACGACCTTTAGAATATATTTATCATATCACTTGCTCATATAGTGATTTTTGTGATTAGTGTTCAAAGCGAAGGCATTTTTATTCCCAGATCGATTGCATGTAAACAAGAATAGAACGCTAGAGTTGACAATTTTTAAATACTCTGTACCCAGCACTCCTAAATAAACAAGATAGAACGCTACAGTCGAGCAAGCCCGACAGTAAAATAGCCTGTACTCTCCACAAAAAAGAAAAATTAAAAAAAAAAAATTAAAAAAAAAAATTAAAAAAAAATTAAATTATTAAAAAAAATGAATGAATTAATTAGTTAATTAAATTAAATGAGAATACATGTTTATGTTCAGTTTTAACAGCATACATTTACATCACGTACCTATGCGTGTTTATATGCGTGTATGTATGCAGCACAAAGTTGAACCAAAGCAGCAACAACAACAACAGCTGCGGGCAGCGCTGCCGACAGAGGCAGCGCATGAGCAGCGATTTTACTTATGGCTATAACTTTCTTCAGAATTGACCTATCATGATGAAATACGGACATTAGTACTAACTGGATGTACCTACCAAAATTGATTTCAAAATTCCGAGAATTACGGAAGTTATAAGAAAAAACACGAATTGCGGGGGAGTGGGGGGGGTGCATCGAAAAAAAACTCAAACTCGTACTTTCTCGGTCTTAGGAGAATATGGAAACTAAGTTTGGTTATTCTAGCTCTTATACTTTCTGAGATCCTTGCGTTCATACGGACAGACGGACGGACGGACAAGGCTATATCGACTCGGCTTCTCATCCTGATCAATAATATATATACTTTGTGGGGTCTGCCACGCCTCCTTCTGTGTGTTACATACATGCGCACAAAACTAGTATAGCCTTTCACCCTTTGGGTACAGGCTATAAAAATATAAAAAATGATCAACCCGCGTTTGTATGTAGCCAGCAATAAAAGCAACAGCTTCGGGTAGAGCTAGAGAATACACTTATAACTATAATGTTTTGAAAAATTTGCCCATCTTGATACAACTGAACATAAAAGACAGCACAAAGCAATAATTGGATGTAATAGTCGAATTTGACTAACAAATTTCAAATATTACGAGAGATATGGAAAATCACTTAAGTATATCGGAGAAGTAGGGGGATGCATCAGGAAAATATTTAAATTAATAATAATAAATTCAAATAAAATTAATAAAATTAAATGAATAAATTCTGGTCATTCTAGCTCTTATAAGTACTTTCTGAATGCTTGTGTTCATACAGACAGACGGTCAGGCGGGGTTTGACACGCCTTCTTCTGTGTGTTACATACATTCATACACACATACAAAAAAGTAGTAAACCCTTGTACAGGGTGTAAACAACTTAGAGCGATGTACTATCTGGCCTATCTGTCTGTCTTTGGAGCTCAGAAAGCGTCCATTTTTATACCCTGTACCCAAAGGGTACAAGGGTATATTAGTTTTGTGCGAGTGTACATGGAACACACAGAAGGAGGCGTGGCAGACCCCACGAAGTATATATATTCTTGATCAGCATGACAAACCGAGTCGATATAGCCATGTCCGTCCGTCCGTCTGTCTGTATGAACGCAAGGATCTCAAAAGGTATAAGAGTAGAATAACCAAACTTGGTATACAGATTCTCCTGAGCCCGAGAAAGGACGAGTTTGTTCATTTTCCCGATGCACACCCCTCACTAATTAATTAATTAAATTAAATTAAATTATTTTTTTGTGGGGTGGTACAGGGTATTTAAGAGTTGAGCCTGCTCGACTTTAGCATTCCTTTCTTGTTTTTAACTTAATTAATTTTAGTTAATTTTTTTAATTCTGCTTAGTATTAGAATTAATATGAATAACTATTTAAGCAACATTATATTCGTGAGTTTTGTACACTTTATTATATAGCTTACATATCATATAGATAGCAAAAGATTAAGCTTAATGCCAACAACATTTGTATTTTACGTATCAACACAATCTGCAATTATATCAAAATCTAAGCGATAAAATCGATTCGGTCAACAAAGTTATAGTCGAACGATTGTTGGGGCATTGGGTGCGGTTTTATATCAGCTAATAAATAAATATAAATCAATAGAGAATTTCAAAATATTAATGTGAGGTACGCTCAAACCGTCGGAAAATGTTTAGACAAAAAACATGAATTGTGGAACTGTCTTATCAGCTGCGGCGATAAGCAAGGTGAGCAGACCCCAGACATTTATTGCCGGTTGTACTCTATATTCTTGCACATGTATATATGTATTTCTACACATCAAAGACACTGCGCATACTGACAAACATTCAAAGCAATTGAAACGGGGGGTGGGAATTGAAACTCTGACTAACAGAGCAGGTAGTTTTGTAAAGTAAATATATACGAGTATTCAATAGACTTTTAAATAAACAAGAACGTATTTATTTAAAGTGGGCTTACAATTATCGCAGCTCATACATAGCTTTTGCAATGAAAGCATTAAATGTAAATAAAACACTTGTGGGTATTAAGACGTCTACACTTTTCACGGCTTGGCAAATATGCTTAAATATGCTATATGTGCTTGTATATATCATTAAAATGAAATACTATACGCACATCACAATGGTGGGGGCTTCAAATTCACTTACGGGGCGAATGCCAGTCAATATTTAATTACCTATTATGGCGCACAGCTACAATTGTTTGTTGTTTACTCATACTTTTGTTGTTATATAATATGTGTACCAACGACCAAAACAGTCGTTGAAGCCATTATTTCGAATGTGCACGTGAGACTTATCGGGCCTTTAGCATCGGTGGGACTTTTCTATAGTTTGCTGACTCTAATGGCCACACTGTCGCCCCTTTTTCGCGTGTTTCAGCTTTATTTGGTTTATCAGCTATGTGTGTTTTAATGGATTTGTTTTTTCTCTCACATAGTACGAGTATACGGTGTAAAGCCATCAGCTGCATTAATTTTATTACACCAAGAAACTTGTCAGAATCAATCATCTAGATTCTAGATGGCTAATTCTCATAGCAATTAACGTTTCAAATTATTTAACGCATTTAGTGGGAATATTATTGAACTAGTTTATCAACTTCCAAGCTATATCAAAGGCTATATACATTAGCTTGCTTTGCACTCGCATTATTATATGCCATTGTTAAAATATTTGGAAGAGATTAGGACGGTATTGTTTCTTTTTCGTTTTTATGGCGAGCATATTTCAAGAAATAGAATATCGGTTATGAAACATGAATTTTCATACTGTTGAAATGTCGGCGGAAAAATAAATGATAAATAAATAAAATAAATTCAATCCTTTTGGCATTTGATTGAAATCTTCGGGTATAGTTTATCATCAGTCACTATTGGTTTTATAAATGTTATTTAAAGTATTGAATTGAAATAAACATCATAATTACTCATCCCAATTTGTAGCGCGCAAATATGATTAAATGATTTCGAATATACATTTCAATTGAATACAAGTGTTTGAATTAATAGACGCGTAATTAGATAATTTTTTTTAGTGTAGAAAAAGGCAATGCGAATGTTTATGGTCTCTTGTAGGGGTTTTTTTATTACCCCATCAATAAAATGATATGCAAGCTTAAGCGTTTCAATTACTAACAACAGCCAAGTCTCGCACTCAACTTAATAGAAACTAAAATCACTTGTACTCTACAATTATACCATTATAACACTAGAAATTGTTTCTAATAGAAAAACCCGGCAACAAGTGAACCAGATGTACTCGTACGATGAGAAAAACCATACACACATTAGTCGGTTGTCAAGCGAGGTTAATGGGTTTACTTTAGCCCCAAGCCATAGTTGAATTAATACATACAAATCGCACCCAAGTGGCATCATTAATGTTATTTTTTTTGCTATTAAATGCGACCCAGAAGACTCAAAGACGCCCATTAGTGTATTTATAAACTGTACAACAAATGGCAGAGAGGAACGTACTTGGGGCTTATTATTATTGGCAAACAAAAATAAATGTGCTAAAAGAAATCACAACTATGGTACAAATATTGTGCTATTTTATTGTTGTTTTTGTTCGTTTAGCTATTTGCTTTGGGTGTGCCCGGCGACCTAGACAAAGTGTTACAAAAATAACAGGTCACGCAAAATTTGTGTTGCCTACTTTCAGGCTGTACAATAAAAATTAATTTTTACCTCTCTCTCTCTCTCTCATTGTAGACAGCTCTGGCGCTCGTGTATTGAACGAAACGCTAAATATATGCAGCGAGAGCGACGAGGATCGACGCCTTTACATACAGGATAAGCAGATAGATGCGTATGTCCAATTGCCTGTGATCTATTTCGTAACGCCCACATATCCGCGACGTGAGCAAATACCCGAACTGACGCGTCTGGCCTACACTCTGATGCATGTCGCAAGACTCCACTGGATCGTGGCTAATGATCATGATACCTGTACACAATATCTGATTGAGCTGCTTCTGCGCTTTGGTAAGTTCATGCACTCCAGATAAGCCATTGAGGGAGCGCAGCAGTAAATATTTGTTATCTTGCAGGCATACCCTACACCCACTTGGCCAGCCCCATGCCCAGTAAATTTCGCAATAACAAGCCAGCGCCCCGGGGTGTGGCCAATCGACGAGCTGCTCTGCAATGGCTGCGACAACGCAACATTACGAATGGAATTTTATACTTTGGTGATGATGACAATACATACGATTTGAAACTGTTTTCCGAAATCAGGGAGACACAACGTGTGTCCATGTTTCCCGTTGGACTGATAGCAGATTATGCGGTTAGTGGACCGGTGGTTTGCAAGGTAAGCTTTAAAAACAGTTGAAACTTCTCAAATTAATGTTGATAGTGGAAGAACTAAAAACTCTCATTATAGCAGCGTTCTTTCTATCAAAAAACTTCACTATATTATCTATTATATCTATTAGTTCAAGAAAAATGTGTAGCTTCTAAGGCATTTCTTAAATTTTCATTAAATTGGATGACATGTGTGTTTATTGGCACAATTCGGTTTTGTTTCGGCTAATTAACAAATATAAATGGATCGTGGCTATCTGGGTGTTCGATAACAACAAATTGCATTAGATAATTATTTGTGATTGTTCCCTATTTTTGTACATACATATCTAACATATGTAAGGTCAACAACATGATATTAAGCTTATTGGATATTCAAATGGCACTGTACTTTATCAGAATTTTCGTATATGTTTATGGCTGATATCGAAATCGTATGCACCGTTAACACAAACCCGATATACTCGTACATATGCATATATGTACTATATATTATTGCTCGTCATATAGATAGAAAGCCGAACTAATGTTAGAAATCAGCAAAATATGCATTATCTATATAAATACTCTTCTAATATATACATAACCCTTGCTAATTTTTTTATAGGGAAAAGTAGTTGCGTTTTTGGACTCTTGGGTTGCTGATCGACGCTGGCCCGTCGATATGGCTGGCTTTGCGGTAAACCTCGCCTATATGGCGCAATATCCGAATGCAAACATGCCCTATAAGCCGGGATATGAGGAGGATTTATTTTTGCGCAGCATCGGACTGCGTATGGATCAGATCGAGCCACGCGGCAGCAACTGTACTGAAATTTTGGTGTGGCATACACAAACGAAGAACAAAAAGGCGCCGACTGTGCGATTTAGTCGCGAGTATTTAGATGAACGATCAAATTTGGGCGCACTATTCGAGGTACTGCAACGTATGGGTGTGGCACACACATCAGAAAATGAAGGTGCGTATCAGAAATATGTTTATTAAAAATTTCAATAAAATTATTTACTTCTTTCACTCTGTTTTCTATATAGGTGTCAAAGCTCAGCTCAGCAAGAATGGCAAAGTAAAGCCGCACTCCTATTTCCTCAGCTGAAACCAAATCGCCGCGCCCATAACACCATTAAATGACAACAACTTAAGTCCTTAAATACTCATGGCTTAAATCTCATAACAAATAGCCTGAATTAAAAACTAATTTTTATAGTTTTTTTTTTCGCTTCATACCAAACTAATCGAATGCTGCTGCTGCTGATTACACAAATGAAAGAGTTGCACAATTTTTAAGATTAATTTCATTGCGTTGTTAATTAAATAACTTTCACAACATTTGTTACTTAGTTATAACTAAGTTATGAGTATGTGTATTTCGTAAGCGCTAAGTTAACTTTTTGTTAAAAAGTCATCAGGTCTAGACAGTTACAGCTATTTACACTTATTTTTGGTGTTCAAAGTTAGAAAAGACATAATGCCTAATACTTGAATATATATATACGTATGTAAGTTATTTTGTTCAGTTCAATTAACTATGTATGTACCAGTAGGTTGTATTTTTTTAAGCAAACAAAGTATGAGATATATATTTTTTGCTGTGACAAACGTAACGAACTGTCGTGAAATTAGAGTTTAAAATGCATGTAGTGTGCGAAGCTTTAATTATGAATTATTAAAATTAAAAAATATATTATTGAATGCATAAATCGACATAAATATAACAAAAGCTTATTCCAAACTTAAATTGTACAACTTAGTTTCATCTACAAGTAACGAATTAGTCTTAAAGTATGATTTCATATCGCTTTCGACAGTGTGTACTACGAGTATTATATATATTGATGCAAGCACTGCGTACAGCTCATTATTGAAAACTTTTAAGGTACGCTGCTTCATTATCATATCATATTAGTACATAACCTCGGGTTTGCTGGGGGCAAATTTTAGATACCAGTATGATGTGGGCTCTTCATTTGAACAGAGAAAAGATTGTGTTGAAATGGCTTTTTGGATATGTTGGCTTTGCCATTAATTTCCAATCAAACAAATGACAATTTTAGATTCTAAGAAGAGACTTATTAAGGCAAACTAAACAAATACATAAAAAAACAAACAAATTTGCTCTTTTTGGGATTGAAATTTTCGATTTCATTGACTGGAAAACACAAAAAATACGTTTTATAAATATTTGTTGAAAAAACATAATACATCTAAAATATAACGGATTACATTTGCATGTTTTGCATTATTCGTCATATTTTAACACTAATATTGATATCTAATATTGTTTAGGAATATTGGAGGCTTATTCCCAATCATTTCAATTGATATTAGTTTTTAAATTAAAATTTACGTACATATCATAAAACTTATGTTGCTTATATTTGAACAAATTAAGAAACTTGCATTGTAAAAACTTAGGTAGAAGCCATTGTGCATCCGATTTTGAAATCGTGTCATAAATAAATATCATCTAGGAGTGAAAAACATATAAAAATGTCATACAAATCATTAATTCGAATTGGACTTTATTCAGGGAATGTAATATTGAGCTGAGGTGAGCGTTTCAATAATGAGCAAAGCAAACGAAAACGAAACACAAATAAACCAATAATACGTATAGTAAGAGAACAATTTTAACTAAATACAATATGATGTGTCTAATATATAGCTTTTAAATTAATGGCAAATAGAATGAACAACACCCAAAACTTTTGAAAAACAAATCAACAATAACAATGAACAAATAAAGTGCTAGTTTTTTAAAGCTTTCCTCAAAAAAATCATAAAACAACATGATTTTAGTTTGTTTTCCTGTAATAAAATGCAATAAATATTTAATTTGTATATAAAAGCTGGTAAGTGTGTCACTAAAAGTTAAAAACAAACATCAGATATAAACATATCAACAATTTAAATAATTTATTCATCATTCAGGTGTCAAAAGAAGGAATCAATTAAGGACCACCAATGAGTAGCAAACATTTGTGACTCTCAAGTTATTCGACAGACCATGATCGACTTGTTTAACCTGCTGTTTGTGGAAGCCTTTATTAAGGGTTAGGGCAGTGTGGAAGAAAATTGCATACAATCCTGGATTCGTCCCTCCAATGAAGCTTCGATCAAGGATCACTATCACTATCCGCTTGCTATTAGTTTTGAGTTATTGTATGCCGACTAATTGATAATATTTTCCAATAAAATAGCCTTTAATTGAATGTGAAATAATAACATATTCTTTTAAACAATGCCGATTTAATTTAATCATATTCCTTACCTAGACTAGACCCACCATTACTTGCTATCTTCAGTTTTTATATTTTCATTTTAAAATCAATACAGTTTCTAGCTTATATATTATACTCTATTGTTGAGTATTTTGGTGACCTTCCTCATAGTTATTTTTATTGTTTGGCCGGCTCGAGGTCAGAGTAAGAAAAACCAATTTATTTAATTTTCTTTTCTTTTTCCGATATATTTCGGTTACGCCACGGTAACCGTCTTCAGGGCAACTACAAAACATATAACATAATTAACATATTAAAACTATAACACAAGAATTTTTATATAATTACTTATTTAAGCAAGTCTGCTCTGTTTGACTTGGAGTTACTAACTAACAGGTGTCTGTAAATATGCGCGCAATTTTCGGTGTCTGCTTTGTAGTTAATTCTGTATTTGTTAGGTGTGTTGATAATGTGTAGCGTTTCGAGAGTGAATCGCTTACTGTAGTGTCGTTCTTGTTGAAGTACTTTCGTTTCTTCAAAGTTGGGGGTGTGTCCAGTCTCTATGCAGTGGGTTGTTAGAGCAGTTTTTTGTGTCAATGTTTGATGCCTTAGTTTGTAGTCTGACTTGTGTTGTGATATCCGTGTTTTTAGTTTCGACTTAGTGGTTCCAATGTAAAATCTCCTACATGGGTTGTCGCTGTCTCCGTCACATGGAATTTTATAGACTACGTTATTCAGGTCCATTTCTGCAATTTTTGCCTTAGTCCTATTAAAAATGTTCCTAAGTGTATTCTCCGGTCTGTGCGCAATTTGTATATCCTCTTTTTGATAGCAGTCTGACTGGGTGAAGCGTTCTGAGAACCCAGATACGTATGTCAGAGATTTGTAGATTTTTGGTGCTCTTGGTTCTTTTTTCTTTGGGTTCTTATGGTTCTTGATTAGGGAATACGTCAATTTGATAGGGAAGTCGTTTTGTGTCAGTATCCGTTTAATTTCTTCCTCTATTTGTTTATGGTAAAATTTGTCACTTGTCTCGAACATCCGTCTTATACAGTTCTTGGCTGTATTTATTATCATATTTTTCGGATGTTTCGAGTGATAGTTAATCAGCCTACCCGATGCCGTCGGTTTCTGGTACCATTTTGTTTTTAGCGTATTCCCACATCTATTTATAGTCAAATCCAAATAATTAAGTTTCTCGTCATTTTCTGTCTCTAATGTAAATTGGATGTCTTTGTGGTATATGTTGAGGGCGTCTAATGTCTTTTGCACCTGTTCCTTGTCAATAATTGCGAACAAGTCGTCAACATATTTGGTCAGGAGTCTTGGTCTATGGATCAATTTCGATGTTGTGTTTTCCAGAAGCTCCTCCATGACTATGTCCGCTATTACAGGGGACGCCGGGGATCCCATCGGTAGTCCCTTAAGTTGTATATACATTCTGTCCGTATACTTAAAATACCTTGTTTCCCGGATGCAGAAATGTACAATGTCCATAAACATTCTCTTTGGGATTTTAGTGAAGCTTTCTATCCTGGTCCAGTTTTTACTGATGACATCCATCGCTAAGTCGATTGGGATGCTCGGGAACAGAGACACCACGTCGAACGAAACTAAAATCTCATCGTCTACTATATAAGTGTTGTTGACCTTGTCTTTAAACTCTGAGGAATTTTTAACGTTATATGGTGAGGTATTGGTCAGGTTCTTTAATATCCCAGCGATGTATCTACTAAGTTCGTGACAAGGGGAACCGACTGACGAACAAATCGGTCTCAGGGGTGTTCCTTTTTTGTGTATTTTCGGTAGTCCATAGATCCTGGGTGGTAGTGCAGTGCTTGTAACTAATTTATTCCTTTCAGTCTTTGTGATTATGTTCAATTGGAGTAGTTTGTCAACGAAGTTGTTGTTTTTATTCTGTAGCCTAAGCGTGGGGTCTTGTCTGAGTGTTCTGTATGTGTTTGCGTCTCCTAGTATATCCGTCATTTTGATATTATATTCCTCCTTGTCCATGGCTACCGTCTTATTTCCTTTGTCCGAAGTTAATATTAAAATGTTGTCATTAGTTTTCAGAAATTTTTTGGTTTGTTCCACTGTGTCTAATATTGCGCGATCTCTTGTGTTAGTTCGGTTGTCGATACAAAAGCATTTTTTGAGAGTGAAGAGAGCATAATGAACAAACTGACAACAACTCTCAAAGAACGACAACTACGAAAACTGGAGAACCTAAGAAACGATCGTAACGAACGGCACACAGACAACAACAAAAAACAGGCAGAGTGGTTTGCAAACCAATCACACACAACATTCCCACCAAACATCACAGCATTACTTGCTATGGGTCCAAAGTACGCTTTACCAACTGACCGAAAAAGCTTTCCGCTCTTTAAATGCATAGCGGACGGAGAGGAGTTGGTACAAACAATAAAAAACAAAGAGAACCAAGAAACAGCTCGCATAAAACTCTCTTTACTAATAAAGAACATGATGACAAACAACCGAACTAACACAAGAGATCGCGCAATATTAGACACAGTGGAACAAACCAAAAAATTTCTGAAAACTAATGACAACATTTTAATATTAACTTCGGACAAAGGAAATAAGACGGTAGCCATGGACAAGGAGGAATATAATATCAAAATGACGGATATACTAGGAGACGCAAACACATACAGAACACTCAGACAAGACCCCACGCTTAGGCTACAGAATAAAAACAACAACTTCGTTGACAAACTACTCCAATTGAACATAATCACAAAGACTGAAAGGAATAAATTAGTTACAAGCACTGCACTACCACCCAGGATCTATGGACTACCGAAAATACACAAAAAAGGAACACCCCTGAGACCGATTTGTTCGTCAGTCGGTTCCCCTTGTCACGAACTTAGTAGATACATCGCTGGGATATTAAAGAACCTGACCAATACCTCACCATATAACGTTAAAAATTCCTCAGAGTTTAAAGACAAGGTCAACAACACTTATATAGTAGACGATGAGATTTTAGTTTCGTTCGACGTGGTGTCTCTGTTCCCGAGCATCCCAATCGACTTAGCGATGGATGTCATCAGTAAAAACTGGACCAGGATAGAAAGCTTCACTAAAATCCCAAAGAGAATGTTTATGGACATTGTACATTTCTGCATCCGGGAAACAAGGTATTTTAAGTATACGGACAGAATGTATATACAACTTAAGGGACTACCGATGGGATCCCCGGCGTCCCCTGTAATAGCGGACATAGTCATGGAGGAGCTTCTGGAAAACACAACATCGAAATTGATCCATAGACCAAGACTCCTGACCAAATATGTTGACGACTTGTTCGCAATTATTGACAAGGAACAGGTGCAAAAGACATTAGACGCCCTCAACATATACCACAAAGACATCCAATTTACATTAGAGACAGAAAATGACGAGAAACTTAATTATTTGGATTTGACTATAAATAGATGTGGGAATACGCTAAAAACAAAATGGTACCAGAAACCGACGGCATCGGGTA